GGAGGGAGGGAGAGGGCAGCCATGAATGATGTATTTTTAATACCAATTTGAGCAGATTCGGGGTTAACATTAAATCTTACAAAACCTTAAGATCTTCTAAAATCTTACTCCTACTCCTGAACTCCATTTTGCTTTCCTGAGTCAAGACAAAGAGGTGACAGCGAGCACAGAGACTCGCGCATAACCCAGGGTACACCAGTGACTGTGTGTGTAACAGGTGTGAATGTCACCTGTCAGGTGTGCCCGTGAAAAAGGGGTTGAAAGTTACCAACGGGAAGCAGAGGAACACCTGGGGCTCCTCTGGCTGTCTCTGCCTCTCAGTCAGTTGGCCCAAGACCGTGTCACTAGGAACAGGGAACCGGAAAGACAAAGACAGACGTGGCAAACTTCCAGGAAGGGGGCGGGGAGTGCTCAGCTTCACACAGGCCCAGAAATGTCAAATTCTGATAGAGGAAGGTAGAATTCACGGCTAGGTCATGGCGAGGATTTCACACTGGGAAATTCTCCACAGCACTAGGGAAAAAAGCCTCCTATGGTCCATTCCAGAGAGTCCCAGCTGGTTATCCATGTGTCTTGGAAAGAGATACGCAACTTGCTGCGGACACTTGTCAACATCATCAGAACTGAGTCCAAGGGCATTGCTGTGTAGTTTTAAATCCCATGACGTACAGTGTTAGGCCTCTAAAGGAGGTTACCACTCTTTTGATACGGCTTCTATCACATTTAAAGGGGAAAAGGGTTGAACATGCTAGGAATGACCAATCAGGCATCTGGAGCACTTGCTTAAATAAAATCGGAAATTCCAAGTAAACTCCTGCTCAGAGCATGTTTCCTGATCTGTAGGGGACAGAGCCTGTGAGAGCTCAGGAGTCTTTGCATTACACACCAAGGAGTGACTTGTTCATCTGCGCCCTCTGCTCACCCAAAAAAGAAGAGGAGATGGCACTATTACCAGGGTTCTTCCTTGTGGGGTGACAGGAGAGAAATTCTGACCCTCATACAGTGCTGCTTTACTCCCAAGTCTTTCATGAAACCCAATGGCTTCTTTTCATGGCAGCCAAGGGTAGAGCGCAAATGCAAAGACCAGAGTTTCTACGCCCAACTCCTCTAACTTCTTACTCCCCAAAATCTCCAGCTCACTGTTCGAAGAGGATACCACCCTGCCTTTCTCTTTGGGTTGTTTTGAAGTTGCACAAGAAGGCCCCACATTCACAGCACTCTCTCTCTCCAACTGGTCTCTCCACCCACCCAACTGCAGCCTTAGCCTGGGTCTTAACCAGTGTGAAATTTCCTGTCCACTTGACGTCCCACCCCCACCCATCAGACCCTTGCTGATGCTAAGGGCCACAGCTCAGAGTCCTCTTTTCCCTCTGGTAAAGGTGGCCAGCCCCCTTCATGGAGCGTCACAGGCTCTAGAACCTCCGTGGACAGAGCCCAGGACCTCACTCTCCTGGTGAAAGCTTGTCCCTGTGCCTTGATCTGCCACATCTTCACAATGTGAGCCTTCCCGATTTCTATAAAAACAGTGTGCTCCAACACCCTTCTTCTATCCTGATGGCTTCCTCCACGTGAAAAAGTAGAATCAGACAACCTTCCTTTCTGCCATTCATTCTATTAGCCAACCTGCATGTCCTCCCTGCAAAGCAAGTCCGCCATTCCGAGGAAAACATGCTTCACCATCCCCTCCAGTGTCCTCAGCCTAACCTGCAGGTGGATCCCTGCCAGGGAGGCCGAATCTGAAAAGGGTGCTGACAATTCCTTTATCTCTGCTTTGGCGATGCTGTAAGCGCAGGGTTTGCAAAGGAAAATGTAGGTATGTGTCTATTTCATTCCATCTTAATAGCTGAAAACACCTTTTGATGACAGAGAAAGTGGACGCACACAGTCTCTCAACAAAACTCCTTCCTTCCCTCTCAGAAAGGTCAGCAGTGGAAAAGCTCCCTCGGCTTGTCAGGAAACCTGCCTCCCATGTGGCTGTCAGCCTCCATGACATGCTTGTCAAGCCGGAGTCCTGGACTAGAGCCCAGTGACAGACACAGCAACAGCACCGGGCAGGGGCTATGGCTGGGTACTGCAGGGGAGACTTCAGTGACACATGGGGTGGAAAGAAGGGGTTAGACTAACTCACGACCTAGTCCACTGAAGGACCATAGTTCAGTGACTGGAGGTCTGGCCCATGAATGAGTTTCCCAGACCTAGAAGGGTGTCAGATGGAGCAACAGAGAAAGGACATAGTCCCGTGCAGCCTGTCCACTACCTGCTGTACCTGTCCTGGAGGCTGACTGAGAGTAAGACAGGAGAGCAAGCTAGGAATGGTGGTCACAGTGAGACTTGGCCTGGCCTTTTCTTTAGCATAAGGATTCAGGGGGCTTTGTTTTCTGAGGGGGGAGGGGAAGAGTAACACAGTGCCCAAAGGGGTGGCTGACGGGAGACTGATGAGCTTCAGAATAATGTGCATGCGGAGCACATCCAAACTCGGCCTGCTGGTTGGATTTGTGTCCCTAGATTTTTAAAATAACCCCTACCTACTAAGCAAGCTCAGAGTCCACATGTGCACACTCATTACTGCAGAGCCCCATGCTACTGGACAGCCAGCCAGTCTGATATTAGAAAAATATCCGGCTTGAACCCATGTACACACCAAACTAAATTCAACTATGCAGCTTGTAGGGACATGTTCTGTCCACAGGGTCCCCTAGGTCAGGAAGCTGAGCCTATCTGTGAAGTGTGCAACTCACTGCCCGGCACACACGCCTGCAGGTAGGAAAGCATATGTGGCATTGAAACCCAAGTAAGGAGCCAGAGTAAGCCCACTCTCCTCACCCCTCCCCTCCCAAGGGGCCCAAGCAGCAGAGACAAGTACTGCAAACTCTTAATAAACAGCCTCTTCACACAATCTCTGAGAAGCAAGCGTGAAGGAATTATGGCCGATGGAGGCAGGGAAGTGAAATGAGTAATACATCAAAACTCCACAACCTTCCCAACAAAGAAAGAGCTTCCCAGCTGCTTTAGAAATGAATCGCCTGGGGTCAGCCGCCACTCCTTGCAGACAAGGACTCTCCATGACTGAGGGACACGGTGGCTGCAGGCACAGCAGACACCAGCACCTGGGCTTCCTACCCCATGGGCACCACCTGGAGCTCAGCTGGCTCCCCTGAACATACTGCAAGATTATCTTTCAGGAGAAACATTTAGAATGTCACCGCAAGTCCAGCCCCACCCAGAGCAGTAAATGTCTTTATCCTTACAGGGTGAGGCAGAGCCAGGGAGAGCCAGGGAGGTGTGCTCCGCCCCTGCAGGCCTCCGCATGCCCTGTCGCCCCGTCATCCATGGGGCTGCAGCAGAGCAGCCCAGCGTGGGGGATGGGGTGAGAGGGAGATCCCATCCAGCACCAAGGAGTCACCTAGACTCTAGGTTTGCTGAAACCCAACCTCCCAGCTCACCCACTCACACCCACTCCAGTTCCCGGGTTAGTGCTGGGATGGAGGACATCTTCCCATGGGGGCCGCGGGAAGGCAGGTACAGCTCAAGTGGCCTGCAAACTTGCAACCGGTCCTGTCGCCGACTGGACCCTCGGCCCCAGAGCTGCATTTACTTAGCCCAGAAAGTAGGCCTCACTCTAAGGAATGTCCCATGGAAGAGCTATCGCAGCCTGATGGTGGCTCAGTGTTCTCGTTAAGACACTCAGCACTCACCTTCAGGCCTCAAGGAGAAACCCGCGGGAACCCGGACGTGCTCTGTGGTGCCCAATTCAGCAATGAGTGTCTGAGCAAGCTCATGGTCAGAGAAAAAGCCAGGGAGAGGGTCACTCCAGAACCTGTGGCCTACTGCTCGGTTCCACTCAGGCCCTGGGGTGGTTGTCAGACACCCACTGTACTGCAGCCCACAGACCAGATGGCCAAGAAATAGTCAGGGTGACCACGAGACTCTGGGGGTCAGAGGGCAGCCAGAGCTCTGGGTGCAGCACTGCGTTAAGGGAGACTTCAGTGTCCCCTGAAGTCCCCCTCGGGCTGTGAACAGGGGCCACCCTGGAACGTTCTCAGTGTGAGCCCCCTAGCAGTGGGTAATGGTCTGCTCTAGGAGCGAAGTGAGCAGCACACCACAAAATGTGGTTACAAACAAAATTGCTTGGATGCTGCAAACACTGTCCTCTCTCTTAAGCCCACAGAGACCAACCTGATCAAAAAGCTGTTTTCCTGTCGTGTTTGGCTGGATGGCGAACTCCAGCTCCGCATCCATGGTGGTAACTCGGACATTGATCTAGAAAACAGAACAAAGCAAATTACACTTAGTGGCCTTTTCTCTTAGGAATCATCTCCTGAGCCTTCCACAGAAGCTCAGAGCTACTCAGCAACATGGCAAGAGTGTGTTCCTCTCCTACAGCCATTCTCACTCTCATCACCCCCCACACACACACGCGTGCACACACTCCCCCCACCAACGGGAGGTAACTGATGAGTTGGAGTGTGCACAATCTGGATTTAACGTACACGCTCCCTCTTTAGTAAAGCACGTTCACACTCAGGTCTAAGCCATTTTTCTACAAAAATCCTTTGATTACGGTTAGCTTATTTTCCACACACCACCTCCTACGGACCCTTACAACAAGCCAGTGAGGCACCAGTGGGGCGGCGAGCTGCTCTGAGAGTTCAGAGCAGGGCAGCAAGTGAAAGGAAGGGAGAGGGACCTACGTATACACCAGAATGTTTACGGAAACGTCAGAAACCATCTACATAGGGAAAGGAGAAATTCCATCAAAGAGGGCAGAATGTTATACAGTAATTTGAAACGGTAATTATAAAGATAGCAGAAACATGGAAAATTGCTTCAAAAATAAATCTGACAAGCAAAATGGTGTGTGCTCTATCGACGCAAATATGTCAGCTCTGTCGAGACAGAAGATGGAAGTAACGTGTGACACTGGAGGTATCATCAGGATGTAAGACCGAAAACTGAGGTGGTAGTGATGTCTCTAATGTTGCTACATAGATACAGGCGAACTCTTCTGATATTGGCTGACTGAGGGAGGTCTAACAGTTCTGGCTTTGAGAACAAGATCAGTCTTTATAGATCACGTTTTTTTCTAACACTCAAGATTGCAATGATGGAGACTTCGATGCACATCCAGTAACTCTTAAAGGTTCTACAATGGGCATTACTAGCAAAGAAAAGGGAGGCATAATTGTCCAGAGCCCAATCTCAAGTCCACAAATTAAAGAACTGAAGTGTGCTGAGAAAAGCAAGATTGGGCATATTTAAAATTCTTCAATTATATTAAAAATATAAAAACTTGTTTCTTTTCCTGTTGGCAATAATTTATTTTAAAAAATAAATCACAAAATAGTTGTTATAAAGCATGAAATAAAGCAAGTGTATCTATTACAGTTCGAAGGGCACATCTTACAGAGATGTGAAACTCAGGCCCATAGTCCAAGGTTCCAGTAACAAGCGCAGCTCAAAATTACACACTGATGATGAGGCCACAGTCAGTGTCACACTCGAAACGGAAACGAGGAGGGGGGCTGGCAAATGCTGGGCTTAGATATGCTTTTCTTTCTCTGTTCTTTACAGATTCAGAAACTGAACCACCAAGCAATTTGTAGCAAATGCAACTACCCTGGTTAAGACAAATATAAAAGCTCAGAATTTATGAATAGATTAGACTCTACATTCTAAATCTTGATCACTTCTAAATTTAATGCCAGTGAGAAAATGTCACTTCCTGAAACCAAAGCTAATAACATAAAAAGGTGGCACCATCACGCCGATTTTTAAGCATTTTGCAAAATGATTAAAGGAATTCAGGAAAAAAACTATTTAAAGGTTCTGAATCAGGTTGATATTTGACTCGAAGTTCACATAAATCTTTGAAAAGGCAAATGACGAGCAAAATGAATACTTTCACTGAGGTTGGACACAAGCCGGTATGTATAAAGCAAACGTCTGAGAAATTAAGCGTGGTGAGGTCCATGTAACCTGCACAAACTACACCTCCCATCGCAAGGACTTGATCTGACCACCAGCAGCTCCAACACAAGCCACTGGCCAAGTCTGGGTTGCCCTGGCCTTCCCAGGCCTCTTTTCACACGCTCCGATGCCCGGGGGCAGCCATGAGGTCACGTGCACAACCTCAAACAAAGATGGCAAATCTAACACACATGAAGTTCTCCCGACACCGCAGTAACAAATAAAATGGGACAAGCGGCAGGAGGAAAACAGGCTTTCCCTCCGTCCCTCAGTCCACAGATCCCGTCAGAAGGAGGAATTCCAAGTTCTGCTGTGGAGATGTACCAGAATTTTTATTTTCAGAACCCCCCTAAAATTACAAAATCAAATTAATTTTAATGAATATATCCACATACTCACATACTGTGCATGTTCCACAATCATTTTTCTGATATTAACTTGTCAACTACACAATATATTATTCTTGAAACTGAGTTTTTGACAATCTGATATATTTTTTAAACATCTTAATATATCCCTACTTTAAAAGACATGTGTGGAAGGTATATAAAGTCATCTCACTCCTTGGAAAAGAACCGCTGTTTTCATCTCATTTCCCACATTTGCTCTAAATTCTCCATCATGTATATACATTTGTATTTAACTCTGCACATCCAGGTTCTTCTTAGCAATTTTCTAGCTCAAGCTGCTCGACTGCGTTATTGCGCTCAGACATGAAGCACGTGCTCTGCTGTGCAGGATTTATTTGGTATCAGGCTTCATCCCAGGAAACTTATATTGTTTAACTTTTAAATATCCTTATCTTAGTACTTTCTGTTGGTTTATTTCCAAATTAATTTTAATCCATGTGTGTATATTATATCAGATACAGTGCATGCTATACAATCTTGACGTAGGCTGAGATGGGAGGACTCCTGAAATCTAAACAGGAATAATATGTTAATGACCAGTGGCCAGGCCAAGCCACTCAACCTTATGGGTGTGTATCTGTCACCTGGCTAGTCATTACCCTTGGTGTTTCTCACCAGGGTGCTGCTGGCATTCTGGGCAGCACAAGCATTCGCCCTACAAGGCTGTCAAGTACTGTAGAATGTTCAGCACCTAACTAAACACAGGTGTCCCCAGTCACTGGGACATCTAAAGGTTACCCCCCCACACACACACATTTCCAAATACTCTCTGGAACAAAGAGGAGGCTCCTACTCAGACTAAGGACCACAGCACAATACTGCCTTAGTCAAGAATATGCTAAACAGTTCCATGTTTATACAGACTACTGACATTATTTTCAATTTTATGGATCTTTAACAATATGCTAAAATCAGCATATACTTTTATTGAAATTTAAAAGGAAACATTTACTGAGACGACAGGACCATTTATATACATATTTTGGTCCACTTATTCAGGGGCCTTAAAAGCAATTTGGCTTTGGCAATTAAGGAAACATCTAAATCCCACCTCTTTTTCACAACCTTTGTGATAGGTTTCCATGGTCAGCCACTGTTTTTGGTGAACTCGATGGTGGGGTTGTGTGGTTATGCACGATAAGTGGGAAGTGGCCCCACAACAGGCCGAGGTCCATCAGCTTACTGACCACCAAACACCCAAACCATGTGCGAAGACTGGGGAAAGAGCACATACTTGACAATTTTATCATCTTGGCATGTCCCCCAGATCACATTTCCTCAAAGGCAATATTCACTGAAGGAGGCAAAACCACACCATAGGTGTGGGACAGGTATGTGTGTAGAGTGGCAGTTAGTCAATGAAAATCTACCCCCTAGAAGGCAGTGTTGACATCAGGCTTGCCAAAATACTGAAAACTTTTTAACATTCATTCTGCTTTGTTTGGAGCGGGTGGTGGTAAAGTTTAATTTTGCTCATGTGCCCCCACCCCATACACACACGCAAAGAACCATGTGGTTGATGGCGCAGATGGTAATCTAGTAATTCATGTCTCCCTTCCAAGTGCTACTCCAACTAAAGCTAAGATGCAAAGTCACACTGTGAGGTCTGAGATGTCAGAACACATAAGGAGCCAGACAGGATCATACTCCATACCTACATTTATTTATGAATGTCCATTGTGATAACGGACAATTGTGATAGTAAGTTTAGATATGGGAGTTAAGTTAGCACTCAACTGATTAAAAATAATGAGGTCTTTCTACAACTATGCACAATGTCAGAGTTTTAGAATAAAGCAACTTATCTTAGACACAAGTCAGGAAAACTTGGCACTGACCATGCCTGAACCCCTCCAGTGGGTTTGTGTGTATTTTTCACACTGACCACATTCAACAGAAAAACCCTTCTTTTTTTTGCCCCACACAGTAGTTAGCTTAGCAGGTGAGCTGCAGTCTTCCTTCAGTAGGAGAGCTAAGTCTCTGACCTGTTACTAGAATATCAGTATATGCAAGAGACAAATGTCTAAACAAAGAAACAGGAATGAATTTAGCGTTATTTCTAAAACAAGAACAAAACTGGCAAGCAAAACGTCTTAAATTTAAGCAAAAGGCTGTGCACGTTTGTTTCTCTCCCCATGAATGACTAGAGTTCCACTGGTATTTTGCTCCCGGTCACTAGACTATGTAATGCATATATTATTGAACATCAGGATTCAACACATAAAAATTCCTTTGCCTTAGTTAATGAAGACATTGAAAACTTAATTGTCATACTCTCTACCCTCCCTCTGCTTAATAATCTACTCTTTAAAAAATTATATTTGCTGTTCTTATTAAGGGTCAGCTCAGCTCAAAACTACCATTCTACACACTGAAGAACTGTAACAGCATCATTCTTCTGTTCCCAGCCCACCCCATCCAGTGGGCACCTTGCATTCTTTGAGGCTCATGAACCCCACAAACACCAATCAAATGCCTGCTGGGGGCACTGACACCATGAGGGTCACTGGGGACAAAGAGAGGAGTCAGACCTCCCTTGCCCTTGAGCCACTTCCGACATAACACATAGAGATGGACCTCAAGTAGCTGTCATACTCCGGAATGGGACTAACCATTAGAATCCCCAGAGCAGCTTTACAAACACTTGAGTTTCTGGGCCTCAGCCCAAGAGCCTGTATTTTTTTAAAGCTGCTCAAGTGATTTTGAGGACTGGCCAAATTCACCCAACAGCGGGGCAAGAGCGTAGCAGCCTGGAGGCCTGGGCTCAAGATCTGGCACTGTAACCTACTGAGGACCTCAAGCAGATGAGGTCGCCCTCACTGGGCCTCAGCTCCTTATCTGCAAAAGAAGGTCTGGACTAGGTGCCTTGAGGTGCTTTCCAGC